ATCACATATGTTTTTAGTAGGGGGGATCAGGATCCGAGTAAAATTGAAATTATGTTGTCTTATAAGATTCAACACCAACATGAAATTGAAATTGGGCATCATGCCCCCCCCCCTTCTCTCCAAACCTAATTAATTTAATCAATAATTCGAAATTAATTCTAATTGAAATTATGTTATTATTGTTTCGTTTATTTAAATATACTATGTACGTACAAAGTTTACAGTCTGATATTTTAGACATGATATGTCGAAATCAAAACCTGGTTTCGATGATGGGGTAGGATAAAGGAATTTGGTCATTTAGTCTCGAATTTTTTAATCCCTATAACTCTGCAACTCAATCAATTCTAGTAGATCAAATAATTTAAAATACCAAAGGTTTAGACATCAGGTTGCAAAGATAAAGGGATTAGAAAATTAGAGTTTGGGGCAACGACTCAATTCGAATGTATTTATCTTTAATGCTCTATTTCCGAAACAAGGGTTCTATCATCAATATTCAATATTTTAAGTTTCTGTCTCAGGAGAGAGCATGGTTAACGTAAATGTTTTGAAAACCTCAATGAACTTGCTCTTAACTTCTTCTTCTTGTTTTTCAGATTTTTAGATCGATTTATATTTACTAAATGGATCTAGTACAAGGATGTTTGCCCTCTTATACAAAAACAAAAATGTTATGCAAATATAAAAAGGAAACGAGCCAGAGATTGTGAAAAAAGTGGTTTCGGAGAAACCATGATAAATCATGAATTGATTCGCACAACATTTATTTCTTTCTGATATTTTTTTTAAAATATATAATAAATATAATATAATAAATCGTTACAACTTTAACTTATATTAAATTAAATAATGGTTTATTCTAATTCTAAAACTGACTATGTACATTCTGAAATAAGTATAAGTAATTTTTTTTTTAATCTTTTCTACGAAACATAAAGAAACATTAAATCAAATGTCAGCAAAAATCTCAACACAGAAAAAGTGAGAAAATATAGTTTCTTAGAAAAAAAGAGATATTTTATGAAATGTTGACATCGTACATTATACTTATTCTAATTTTTCAATTATCAAAAATAAAAATGTAGTTGATTTTGGTGTCCAAAAAAGGAAGTATTATTTTGTTTATTGAAGATAGAAGAAAAAGTGACAAAGTTATAAAAATTGAAATGTTTAAATGTATACAGAAAAAATGAAAAAAGCTGCGCTTCTATAAAAATGTGAATTAAGAAACTCCTTTTCTGCAAGAAATATTTCAAAGGAAACATATTTACTAGCAATAATACTAATAACTTCAGGAAAACAAGACTTCGTGAAAAGAAAAAAGTATCATTTTCAAGTTTATCCCAAGTTGTTATTACTTGTAGAAATACCTCAATTTCAGCTTTGTTTGATACCATTATTGAAGATAAATTTAAACAATGGATAATTTAGCATTAACACGTTAAATAAACTTCTTATTGTATTAAACATTAAAAATGGCGTGAAAATTATTTAATACTTTTAGAGTTATAACGCTTTAGATCCATTTTTGGATTCCTAGGTTCCAAAATTTGAATACTTGTTGAGCAATGGGCAAAACTTTATTAAACTTCATGAACTTAGAGCTGTGCAGCATGATTAGAGTAAAGCTGTAGCTGATGCATATTGGTCTTCGAGACTAGAGTTTGAGTTTGAATTATCCTGGAGAACAGGAGATGTGGATGGTTGGAGCTAAACCTGAACCTGTGCCGTACAATTTAGCATTGGTATCTAAGAAATTGAGTCTTTGCTACAAACTCAAAGTTTCTAATCCTTTTATGTTTGCTTGCTGAAGTTGTTAAACTTTGATATTTCACATTTAGATTTTTGATCTAACAGAATTCATAGTTCAAAATATATAAGGTCTACCAAGCCTTTGGAAAAACTTTTACTAAAAAAAGAATGTAGCAAACAACGCTAACAAGTTTTTCCCTAGAGTTTAGAGGTTTAATACTTTGGGTTGGAGTAAAAATGGACCCGCAGTTGGAATTGAGAGCTAGAGAGCTGAATCTGAATTTGGACTGGCTGGAGCATGAATGTAGCTTAAGCTGAAGCTAAAAATAAGATTAAGACTAAGTAAAGCAGGATATTTTTGATCTCATTATATCATTCATTATTAACGTAAATATTTGTTTAAAATATAAAAAACAATTGTTTACGGTCAACTGTTGTTTTAAAAAAAAATGAAACTGTAGAACTAAATCCAGAATCATAAAAACATTTTTGTGCAAATAAAAAATAAAATTAAACATTCAAGAACTTTAAAATTTTAATCAATGACTAAAAGTTTGAAAAACTTGAAACTGGGAGTCTTAAACTCGGCTTCCTACTTATTTTCGAGAACAAAAAAGTCCTTTCGGAATTTGTAAAAAAGATAAAAGGTTTCTTTTGTTGGTTGGACATGGCACATTGGGGGAATGATAAGTACAAACAGAGAATTGAAAAGGGGGCTTGTATATAGTAGTAGTAGTAGGGGGGAATTGAATGTAAGCGGATGGTGGAAGAGAGGGGGGGGGGGCAGGTGTCCCGGGTCCTAAACTAAACTCAACTTGATGATGAAGTTGTCTACTATGGTCGCGTGCCTTACTCCGTCTCTCTCCGTCCCGTCCCTGTTCTCTCAACTCGACCCAACCCGGGAAATCTCTTCGTACCAACCCGACTCTTTCACAGGCTTAGTTATGCTTTGATTGTTGAGCAGTGTGGAGTACGAGAATGCAAAACATAAATCGGCCAGCCGGCCGGCAACCACAATATAATGTTAACCAGTGATGAGACTAAATCCATAAACTATAATAATGAGTACAGTCCCAGGAGACGATTTCCCGGATTTTCTGTCCGAGAAGGTAAACCAAGAAGATTAGAAGATTAGAAAGCATAATTGAAACAATGCTATATTTAATATTTATGATTGACTCCATGGAATACTTTAGTCATTTGGACAAAAATAAAGACAATTGATTTTCCGTGTTATTTACGAATTCCATTGATTTCATGCTAAAATATTTTTGCAATATTTTCCTTCTAATTCAATTTCTCATATCAACACTAACTAGTTCATTGCACATCAAATTGCATTTAATTTGCAATGATTTATTTTTTTATTTTATGATATCATCTTTTACATATCTTGTTCTGTATTTTCATATCCCAATCCATTTCTTTTTTGTTGTTATGAGTTTTGGGAATAACATTTTTCGACTTTTTTATTCAGTTAAAGAATTTACTCCTTTTATTGTTTCAAAGTATGAAAACAAAACCCACCAAAAAGTTTTTTTATATTTTTTCAACTGCTCTGTTAGTTTAATACTTCAGCCTATACCTGTACAGATAATCTCTTTTCTGTCTTTTTCTGCTATTAGATAAAAACTCTGCTAGTTACTGACTAAAAATTCTCTAATTGATTATCATTTCATTAAAAAAATATCTCTTTTTTTTCCTGATGTACCTTTTTTATAAAGTTCTCTTTTTCTCTTAAATCTTCTTACTGCCGATGATTTCCATTGGATTCAAGTAGGTTTTTTTGTACCACAATATTTCTGATAGCCATTTGCCATTTAAGGTGAAGATATTAAAACAACTGAAATTTAGAAAAAACTTCATTTCGAGAAACTCTATGCAAAATAAATGTATTTTTTTGGTCAAGATGTTTCTCTTGGTTTTCCAAGACCTTTAATAACTGTTGCAGTCTGCAAATAATAAAATGTATTATTAAAATCGCATTCCGCAGGCATTACTAGCATGCTTGTAAAGAAAGGGGGGGGGGGTGTCATAATTGAAGTCTATAAAACTTCGACATGAAACTTCAAACATTTGCAATGGACTGACACAATACAATTTCTTAATTTTTCAGTGTCAATATCATTTAAGTGTTCATAAATCATATTATAGCTTTATACTGTAAATACAAAATCTCAGATCACCTATTTTTAGAATGATAGATTCATATACCCCTAAGCGTGCATATGAAAATATACGATTTTTCAAAAATGTCCTAAAAAGATTTTCCTCCCCCTCCTCATCCCCCTGTTCTAGTAGTGTGTGTTTGAATCAGTCTTTTTTAACTGTCTTCTTCTCTACCTAGAGATATAAATCCATCCTACCAATGTTTAGTGGTTCTAGTGGTGTGTTTGAATCAGTCTTGTTTTCTATCTTGATAGGAACCAATATTTTGTGGTTTTGTAGTGTGGTTCTATTAATGTGTTTGAATCAGACTATTCTATTTGTTTTTTTTTACTCTCACCTAAGCATGAATTCGTCCTACCCATCTTAATTAGTTCAAATGCATCCGTCCTCTCAAGGTTTCCTGGGATTGTATAAACCTTGAGGTCGGAGTTAGTGTTAGATCCTACTCCTCAGGAGTCAGGATTATGCATCGTGAGATATTAAGAGGATTAAATATTGATTAAACTAAAGTCCAAGATTAAAGTTTAATGTGTAACCTAGTAGATGTAAGCAGTTGATAGAAAATGTGAAAAAGGGGGAAAGTTTTTTTTGTGAGGAAAAGTTATGCAGTAAGATTTTTAAAAAATTGGCGCTATAAGCGTTCAAAGACGTATGCAGAAAATCCTAGATTTCACGTACGCGGTCTTCTTTCTTGAGCTCACATGGAAGGGGGTGTGGGTGGATGTGGGCGAAAATTAGTTTTCAATCCTTTCTGTAATTAACTGCATGCGAAATTTCTTAGAAAGAAATCTGCTATTTTTCATCCATCTCTTAGACCAAACCGGGTCAGTTTCAACATCTGCCCCCTGTTTTTGACCTAAAAATTTCCTTTTTTAATCCCTAGGGATAGGGAGGGGTTCCTCTATATAGGGAAGCGATATGAGAGAATGCAAGGACAGTAGGATAAGGGACATGATATATTGATATATTATCATTGTAAATATAATCTGTACGTATCACTTACAAACTCTCAAATTCTTAAACCAAACAGTTGAACTCTTAAAACTAGTATCATATTTTTACACACTTCGAATAGATCGATAGATAAATAGATAGATAACAGACAGGCAGTTTTAGATCAAGATATTATAACAAATACCCAATTAGAGCGGATCAAATTAGTGTGAGACCATTTCAATTATCCACTAATTAGGCATTAATTTTTATGACGCATTAAATCGTTACGTCATTAAAGTTATGTTAATTGTGGAACCATTGCGTATTAGCTGAATATGCGTCAGACTAAAATAAAATGAGGTTAATATCTAAAATGAATATTTTCTAACGTTTTAACAGTTTGACATTTTCTATTAGTAGCGGTGAATTATCAATAAAGTCTAGTTATGAATTATTAAACCATGAAACAGTCCTGTACACAGACTTAATTATTTATAAACAGAAAGAAAACAGAGTGTAACTTTGAGGGACAGCTAGGCCGGGGG